CAGTGAGGTGTTAATGTGTATCTGTGTGGCGTTTCTTCGCTGGTGCTTTGTTTTTTCTGAACGCTTACTGGATATACAAGTGGCTCAAACTAGCTCATTTTGAGGCAGAAACTGAAGGACGTGCAACAACTTTAACTATGAGGTAAACACAAAACAAAACTTTCCATCCGGAGCTCCTTCACGGGACTCCACGCTTGTAAACAATCGCTCCATTGGGCTCGCACCCGTCGCGCAGCTCTCGGTCCCGCCCAGACTCGTCAGCGATACCAAGCTGACCAATCACAGAGCCTGCGCTACGCATCGTCGCGACGTGTAGTTACATTTTTGAGAGGTGCATGTCAGCAACGCCGACGGCCACGGCATAGGGCTATGCGTCAGCGCCGTAGCATACGTGTGCGCTTGACACAGAAGTATAAATCAGCCTGTAGCATACGCGTGTGCTTGACATCGTGTCATCCTAGATTCGAATTTAGAATCTCTTGATAGGGGAAAAAAAAATTTGGTCACTAAATCGATTTGTGGAATTACGCCAGTAGGTGGCAATAAACAAGTCTTTCAAGCCTGTTCATATTTATTTGTCCACATTTGATGTGTTTTGAAAGCAAACAATGCGTGGATGACTCTAATGCCGAGTTCAGACTGCATGATTTTGAAAGTAGTCGTGTCACAGATGTTTTCACACTGCATGACTGTCTGGGCTTGCGTTTCGTCGCTGCTTTGTTTACACTGCAAGATGGTTCGGCGACATGGACATTCACATTGCACGACTTTACTATAGGGAGAATCGCCGACAACTTCGTCCAAACTACGTCTCACAGCCAAAAACATGTAGTATATCTTTTGTTATTAACTACATAATGAGAAAAAGCCTTTAATGGGGTAGAACATGTACATGTTTGCTCACCTGGGTTTAAAGGGAATTAGCCATTTCTCCTCAACGTTGATAATTAACTAATTTCTTTCAGTATGAAATGTCAAACAGACACGGTTGCTCCTGAGTCCTGTCAAAGCTCCACTAGTTTTTCCTCCATTTCGTGGGTCCAAATAAACCGAAAAAGAGCGCTTTTAACTTCTCCCCTAGCCTCCCGCTGGCCTGCAGCAGGTATACACACACGCACACACAAGTGAATGCTGCTCTCTCATTGGCTGTAGGCGATCGCTGATGTTATTTTCAGTCAAAACTCAATTCACACGGCGCGATTTAAATCGCTGACAGCTCCAGATATTTAGCATGCTAAATATCTCACAGGCATCGGCGACTCATCGGCGATTCTCTCAGATCGCGTCTTTGATCGTTCATACTGTGTGATTGTCACTCACGTGCACGAGCAGCGATTTGCCTGTGATTTCAGGCATTTGTCGGCGATTTCTCAAAACCTGTCGGCGAGCCAAAATCGGGGCTAAAATCACGCAGTCTGAACTAGGCATAAATGGATTAATATATTAAAGCTACATCATTCCTGCGCTGCTCAGTTTATATTTCATAAGCGAATAATGTCAGCATTTGCTTTTAATAGATAGCCACTAAATAACGCGTTGGCTACAAACTCGCTCGTGCCTGCTAATGTGCCAACTAGCCCTTCAAACCTAACTGGAATGGGGTTTGTGTCATCCTAGATTCGAATTTAGAAACTCTTCAAAAGGAAAAAAAAAGTTTTGGTCACTGAGTCGATTTGTGGAATTATGTGAGTAGGTGGCAATAAGCAAGTCTCTCAAACCTGTTCACATTTATCTGTCCACATTTGATGTGTTCTGAAAGCAAACGGTATGTGGATGACTGTAAATCAAACAGATTTATATTGAAGCTACATCATTCTTGAGCCGCTCCAAGTTTTACAGTACATTCGCGAAAACATCAGCATTTACTTTTAATTGATAGTCACTAAATATTGTGTAGGCTACAAGTGCGCTAGTGCCTGCTAATGTGCCAACTAGCCCTTCAGACATACTTGGGATGAGGTTTATGTCATCCTAGAGTCGAGTCTTTAAAAACTCTTCATGGATAAAAAAAGTTTTGGTCACTGAGTCAATTCGTGGAATTCGTAGCCATGTCAGTAGGTGGCATTAATCAAGTCTCTCAAGCCTGTTCAAATTTATTTGACAACATTTTGTCAGAAAACTTATTCGGAGGTAATGTAAGCCACCACACAGGAATCAGAAAAGCTAATAATAGTAAATGGTTTGCTGTGGATTTCCCATCTTACAGTGAATCTGAACCTGAAATTTTCATTTGCGTTATTTCAGGATGTCAGTTTCTCAGGTCAATACTGAAGCCAAGCTGTTCTGCAATCATCTGCCACAATCTGTTTCTATATCCCATATCTGTGTATTTCGCAATTTGTTTGTTGTTAAATTATCTGAGCTGCGAGTCTGATGGTATTCTGGATTTTGGCTTTCACTTCTACAGTGGCACAGATGCAAAAAACACAGACAATTGAAGCAATCTGATTTTTTTTATGATGGTCGAAAATTTCGAAGACAGTAGCATGTTTCCATCCAAAGAAGCAAATTAAATTAATTACTTGCACCTCAGAAGACAATGCAGATACACAATGAATGCATGGTGGCGTTTGAAGGTGCACAGGCGCTCTGAACTATTCTGGAGGTAATTATTAATGTAATACCACTAATACTGAAACGGTTAAGGTGTTTTAGAATGACCAAAATAACATTTCAGATGTTTTACAATGTGTTCAGCCTGCTGGCTTTGTCCATTAACACACATTTTTATCATCACATGATCTCTTATAACAAAATCTCATGGCCTTTTTTTAATGCGCATACTGGAATTTGTTCGCTAAAAGTGTTTCCATTGTAGTTTATTCGCATCTTTTCCTATTGAACACAAAGTTTATCCTACTTATGCGCATACGTTTTTTATGCGCATTTTCAAAATGTATACGCAACTGGGTGTTTCCATCAACCGATTTTTTTATGCGCATCTCCAAAATGCGCATAAAAGTAGGTGGATGAAAACATAGCTATTGTTAAAATGTGATTGACACAATGTGAGATCATATTTATTTTTTAAAGTATGAAAATTTGGACAAATTTGAGCTAGGTCTGCACAATTAATTGAAATAAAGTCATACTTGCAATTCAACAAAAATGACAATTCTTATTCACATCTTGTCAGGGAAGAACAGTTCTGTGAACAGTAGTAAATCTCCTCTGAAAGCCAGAAGGCGCTCTATTGCAAAAAAAACAAATACTCTGTGAATTAGAGAGACCCTGGAAATCAAACAGAGGATTAAACTGTGTTTATTGATTCAATTTGACCAATAAACACACGACTAATCATCTCACGGAAGGATTCATTTTTTTAACACGAGTTTTGCGTTGAGATTGAAGTATAAACTTGTTACTAAATGTAGTATTGTGCTTTCAAATGTAGCAGCAACACAAACCCATAGTTCTCTGAGAAGCGACGCAAAACAGCCATCAAATCACAAAATATTTCTGTCTATAATCATTAATTTATTCATTAATTTTCCTTTGGCTTAGTCCCTTTATTGATCAGGGACCGCCACATCAGAATGAACCGCCATCTTTTCCAGCATATGTTTTACACAGCGGATGCCCTTCCAGCTGCAACCTAGTACTGGGAAACACCCATACACACTAATTCATTCCCAAACATAAACTACAGCCTTTTTAGTTTATTCAATTCACCTATACCGTATGTCTTTGGACTGTGGAGAAAACCAGAGCACCCAGAGGAAACCCACATGAACACTGGGAGTACATGCAAACTCCATGCAGAAATGCCAACTGATCAAGCTGGAACTCAAACTAGCGACCTTCTTGCTGTGAGGTAGCAATGCTAACTACTGAGCCACTGTGTTGCCCCTCTCTATAATCACATAATCAAATTGTCCACAATTGTTTTGCGTAGTTTGTCAGTGAACTGTAGCTCTGTAATAAGTGCTGCTCCATCTTAAAGCAGGCGCTGGACTTTTAATACTGATTAAACAACTAGCTTAACTGACAACATTTGCATAAAAATCACCTTCTATTAATCGTGCAACTCTACAATGAACTTTAGACTCACAAGCTGCCACTTTTTCAACAAGCCTTTCAGACAAGTGTGTTTTTTTTGTTCAGTTGAGAAATTTGCAAACTCCACACAGAAATGCCAACTGACCCAGCCAAGACTTGAACCAGCGACCTTCTTGCTGTGAGGCGATAGTGCTAAACCACTGAACCACTGTGTCACCATTTATCATTGAATGTTTTTTTTTGTAATACAAAGATTTCTGACAAATGTTCAAGATTTTCATTTATGTTGTGAACTAATTGTATTTGTTGCCTAATTGTGTTATTCATGCCAAGCCTGGTAACACTATGTTCTGGTGTACATAGCTTTTATACTCCACCTTTCATTGGTTTGGTTATAAAGTACTTTTGCATGCTTATGTACACTGAAAATATAACACTCGTGCACATAACACTGTTTTCACAAATTTGTGTTTGTCTAACAACAACATATCTTAATGGTATCATTTTAAAAAAGCTTGCACTTTTAAATCCATGGAAATTGACCAGCAAAATGCAAAAAGAATCTCTTATTTATAGCTGAAAATTGTGTTGTTTAATGGATGAAAACCAGTCATATTTGAAGATATATGAATATACAGTGTCATTTACAGTTTTGAATACTACACCCACTTGTCATGTTTCTGAAGGGTTGTTAAACCAGCAAAGAGATTCATGTGTAAACTATCACTGAAAAAAATTATTCAAAGATGATTCCTTGGATTTACTCATTTTTTTACGTTAAGTGGTTGTAAACAATTTAATTGTGTTGAATTTAAACAAACAAATTTAATTGAACATTATTCAATTTAATTTGTTTGTTTAAATTCAACACAAATAAATTGTTTGCAACAGTTCTGCATGCAACACTTTTTTTAGTGTACAGCTGACTATACTGTCTACTAGCTAGTAAATTTGCTAGATAGTAGATTATCGACTGGCCAAACCAGCATAGTCAGACTGTCTTTTTTTTGGATCTGGTTGAACAGCTATTTGACCAGCTTGGGCCATAAACTAGCTTCTAAAACCCAATTGCCAGCTTTAAAATACATTTTTTCCAACTGGGTTTGACTTAAAAGCTGCAGTGGACCTTTTATGCTGTTTCTTTGCACAGTCAGCAGATTTTCAATGAAATTTTATTGAGAGTACAGAAGTTGAAAACTTAACACATGAAGTAAATAAGTATCTTCTTTACTTGTATTTAAGGTTTACAATGCAAATCCAATTAGATCTACTTGTTTGATGAACAAAACCTACAGTAAATCTCTCATATAACCCATCCAGTAAAATACAGAAAATATTACTTTACAAATTGAGTTCTACATAAATAATCTGGATAATTTTACTAAACTTATTGTAAATACTGAAATTCTGTGTGGGGCTACTCATTGTGTATGTATTTATACAATCTCCATCCTTTCCTTTCACAGAAAAGGGATGTTCTCTATTGAAAATGCCATCAAGGCTAAAGCTGGACAGTCACTGTATGCTGGAAGAAAGCTGAGGAACATTTTGTAAGTGGCCAGAGGACTTGAAGAGCACCAACTAAACATCAATCTCAAAAGCTTCGTACAGGGATTCCCCCACACCAGGTGCAACTCCAAAACCCAAGAAGAAAGATGCAATACATTGGTACCTACTAATAGCAAATAACACCTTAAAGGGCTGTTCTTCTTTGCCAAACCTCAAGTGACAGTGGAAGCGAGTGCAATTTTGTTGGATAAGCCTCAGTCTTTTCTCTTGTCAAGTCTTGTATCGTGAGCCTGGCCAACAGATCATGATGTTTCGTGACCAGGTGGGAGTCCTCGCCGGCTGGTTTAAGGGATGGAACGAGTGTGAACAGACTGTGGCCTTACTGTCGCTCCTCAAGCGGGTCAGTCGGACCCAAGCACGCTTCCTCCAGCTTTGCCTGGAGCATTCCTTGGCTGACTGCACCGAGCTGCATGTTCTGGAAAGAGAGGCCAATAATCCAGGTCAGTACAGAGACTATCACCTTTTCTGCCAGTATTAACCCCATGCAAGCATGTGTTTTTGAGCTGTACCCTTTAAGAACAGGTGCATACAATTTCTTAGGCATTAGATGTTGGTACTTCTTTTGGATTTGTGTAATAATGATTTAATTTGCATTATTATTTATATTGTTGAGTTAGATTTGAGGGATGGCTTCAATGTGGGCATGTGTCCATGCTCGAGCAAACCAATTAGCTCGATAAAGACTGTTATAGACACAGCATTACCGTAATGTACAGAAATCATTTTAAATATCATTATGTTTTGATTTGTTTATTAATAATGAATATTTTCTAATTATGTTTTTTATTTATATCTCTAATATATTCTTGAAAATCTGTTATTTTTACAATAAGAAAATTATTTTGATGACATATTAAAAGATTATATTTAAGAATCGCAGTGTAGCAATCAAAATATTAATTAATTGCCATTAGAATTTTTTATACTTTGTCGCTGTCCTTTAAAGGACACCTATGATGAAAATCATCTTTTTTAAGCTGTTTGGACAGAACTGTGTTTAGGTACAGTATAGTGTGTCCACTGTCATATTAGGGTGATATAAAGACAATAAGTCTCTTTTTTAAATTCCCTGACTTTAAAAAAGTATCCAAATCCCTCCCATTTTGAGGCCTACTGCAACGTGATGTAGGAGTGCAGTTTCACCGGCCACCGAATTGATTCACAGCCGCGTATTAACATGTCTTCGTAGTAAAGTGTACTGTTTAATCATATCAACAAGACAAGACGTGCGCAAAGCAACTGGGATTAAAAGATCTGTTCAGCTCTCTGTGATCATCAATCATCATTAAATGTGATAAAGAATGATTTTCACTCAAGTTTAAAACGTTTTTAAAACAGTGCATGTTTGTAATGAATTACAGCGATGTTAACACAGCCGCGTGTCAGTACAATTATAAAAGAAGACGCTTTAATCCTAGTTTGTGGACGTTAAATCTGATTTATTTTGTACATGAACATAACGGATATCTATACAGCAGTGAATATTAACATTTATTCTGTCACAATTGCTGTGCAAAAACAGTGCAAAGTTAAACACGCATGCTGTGTGTGTTTGAACTTTTTAACGACATCGTGAGTGACTCATTGCAGAAAGGCTTGAATTAACTTAACAACAAATACATCAAATAATCATTGGGAAAGTTTGTACTGTAGTATTAACTCAGCCGGAGAGCACACTCTGACAGGCACATGGGAACAGTGGGCAGGGAGAACTAGCATTAAAGGTAGAGGCCGCAAAATTAGCTACATTGTGTTTAGAGGAGAAAAATCCAATAATGTGAAAGGTATAATAAATAATCTAATGGTTGTTTTGAGTTGAAATTTTACAGACACAGTCTGGAGACATAAAACCCTTATCTTAAATCTTGAAAAAAGGGTAAAATAGGTGCCCTTTAAACTACTAGATTTTATCCATTTGTCAGTTTATCATATTTTTAAATATACTAACATTCAGTATGACTATTCTCTTGTACGTTTTTACAAGTACTAGTCAGAATAAGCATTGTTTTTTCATAAATATTTTGACATTTCGATACTTAACTTCCATATGACATGCTTTCTATCTATTCTAAATCACTTTGGTTAATTTAATTTGATGCAGACACTAAAATGGGACATCTTGCTTGTGATCCAGATGTTAAATTTACTTTTTTATTTATACACTGAAAAGCAAATACTCTGACTTACAAAACCGAAGGCATAATTCATCATATTAAAACAAATAAGGTTAAATCTACAGTTAGGAAGACCCTCTTCTTTCTTGCACACATACTGTACATGGTGTAAACCTCAAACATGGGATTCCCATCAGAGTTTATAGTGGGCCGGGACTCATAAAAAGCCTCCTCCTGCCTTTGCGGTGGTGCGTGTTGTATTTTATATGAGGGATTTTAGCACAGCTCTGTCATTGTTATTCTAAAACATCAAGATGAAGACATCAAAGAAGAGGTTTCTTTTAAAGTGCTCCTCCTTGCCCTGGTGTGTCCGCTGACATTAAAACCAGCTGAAACTCTTCTGGATGCTGTCTTTCTGCTGCTGGACTCATACGTTCTTATGTGATGATGAAGCGCTATTTGTTATTGCAGATGGTGGATTTGCATGCTCGTATGTGGTGATGACCTTTTGAATAAATGCGCTGAAGTGTGTGTATTGCTGGTGTTCATGACATTGTGACGTTTGTTCCAATATACTTGTAGAGACCAAAAATCACTTTCATGGAATAAATTGTCAACTGTAATAGATTTTTTATTCCATATACCTTGACATGTTAATAAGTGGGCGTGGCTAACTTGTGTACAGTGTGTATGTGTATTAGCCATGAGATTGAGGAGAGCGCTCACTGGAGCATTTGTAGTAAGATCAGGGGCCTGTTTCAGAAAGGAGGTTCAAACAACTCGGAGTTTAAACTTGAACTCTGAGTTGATTTACCAAGAGATTAAAAACTCAGAGTTTTCGGTTTCAGAATAGCTGATCTGAGCTGGGTCAATCAACTTTGAGTAGACCAACTCAGAGTTAAGCGCGCACACCGTGACTTTAAAAAGGCATTATCAATGGAGCGCAGATATTACGAGTGACTATGGCAACATCTTAAAAAAAAGATCACCATTTCTTTCTCCGGCTGAACTTGATCTGCTCATGCAAAGTTATAGCAAATATAAGTGTATATATTTTAAAAGAAGCAGCCATCAGTGAAACAGAGACAGTTAGCCTGGGAAAACAGCTGCTCAAGTCAATGCGTAATTTTTAATTTTAAGTATTTAAACATTTAAGTATAATAAAATAAGTAATGTAATGTGTGTCGTTTATACTTTTTTCTAAACTTTTATACACTTTTATCAGTTTTAATAGATTTAACAGCGCACTTGTTGTGTGTCTGCCTTTTTATTGATCAAGTGATAGAAGTTTAGAACATTAAGAAGGTAATCAGTAAGAAAATAATTTTTAGACAGAATAATAATCCCATTAATCTAGTAACAGTGCATGTCGAAGGTTAAGCTAATTATTTATGAAAAAAGGATAAGCCTCGTACGTGATTTCTGTGTGTGACAAAAATGTAGGCAATAGCTGTGTTTCCATCAAAATATAGGCTATTACATAAATTTGTGCAAAACTGGAATAATGCCTAAAAATAAAGCAGCGTTTTTATCCAAACAGTCGAAGAGAACACAATCGTCACTTCCTGATTAACTTGTGCCAAATATCAACAGTAAAAACAGAATTTACTGCGGTCGAAGAAGCTGCGTCAATGATTTTTTTATTTAATTAATGTACTTGCGCCTCAGAATACAATTGACACACAACGAACACGTGGGGGCGTTTGAAGCCAGACGCGGAGATCTTGACACACTCCAGACGCTCGGAGGTAATTAATAATATACACTAATACTGAAACAGTTCAGGCATTTTAGAATGACTAAAACAACATTTAAGATGTTCTGCAGTGTGCTCAGTCTGATGGTTTGTCCTTTCACATACATTTTCATCATCATCTCTAACAAACCTTTTTTTAATGTACATACTGTAATTTGTTAAGTGCACTTCGTAGTTTATGTACATCTTATCAAATAAAAGTTTAACCTCAGTTATGCACATGTTTAATTATGCGTATTTTCAAAAGTTATGTTAATCACGACGTATCCATCAATCGTTTTTATGGGCATCTCCAAAATGAGCCCTAAAATAGGTGTGTGGAAACGTAAGGCTAATGCGAGAAATACGCTTCATCTTTAAAAAAGGGGAGGAGACCGACTGAAACTCAGAGTTTAGGGAATAAAACCTGCTTCTGACCAGGTTAGATTCACAGAGTAAGTTACCACAGTAACTGACTCTGAGTTAAAGTTACCTTTCTTTCAGAAACAGGCTTGACTTACCCTGATTTCTTGAGTTTAACAAACCTGCCATTTTGAAACGGAAAACCCAGAGTTTCTCTCATTTCAGGGTTAAAATACTCTGAGTTTTCACTTAACCTCCTTTCTGAAACAGGCCCCAGGTCATCAATCTGAAGTAAATATTTACCTGTGATTTAGATTAATTCTTCCGACTTCAATCTGCGAATGCGAGTACAGAATAACTCTGTGTACAATATCCCTCACTAAGTTAAACAGTCCTATGTCTAGCCCTACAGGCTCTGCCGACTAACAGCGTCCTAATTCTCGCCCAGCAGCACCACTATTCACCTGGAGAGCTGTACATTTTTGACTAGGAAAATACACAAATAACAGTAGTTAGTTATGCCATAAAATGATTTCAGAATGTTACACATAAAAAAGGGTTTATTTATTGTCATACAGAGCTTAATTTAGTGTTTGATCTGTTAATAAATAATTTTTTTTTTTTACAATATTGCTCCCAAGCAGGCTTCCGCTTGGTCTTATTGCCTGGCTGCCCCATGAGAGAACCTCTTGAGGGTGGGCCTTTCGAAGGAACTAGGAAAACGTGACAGTCATTTTCATGTTAGCTGAGTAGCTGTATATAATCAAAGTAAGATATATGAAAAAAAGTCTCTACAAGTAAAGCATGAGCACACATTGCTTTGCATCTTATAAACCCAACCAAGCCTTAAAATCAAATTACTGGGATGATTTTGAGCCTTAATTTGTCCACAACTTTCGTTGTGTTTCAGCAAATGAAATTATTTTTGGTCACAAACCTTATTTTAATTCATAGTTTGGGAAAACTTTTTCAAAAACTCAACAACATGGACAATTTTACTACATTTTAATTATGTTGGCGGCTGTTTTTGGCCCATTGACTTCCAGTACAATGACAATTTTTCATTCCAAAAGCCATGACACCATATTATCATGCATTCTTGGTTGTTGGTGGTTTTCCCTGTTGGGAAGAGGTACAATTAGCATTTTTTTCCTCGTTTATTTTAGCAATTAGCCTTTTTTACACTTAGGTTAAAATAAAGTTATACCCCCCAACCTTAGGACCAAATATCATCAGAAATGTAATTTATGAACTTGTGGGGACATTTTTGTAGGTCTCCATAAGGAAAGCAGATTCTTAATCATACATACTGAAGAATTTTCATCATGTAAAAATGCTGAATATTTGTGTGTGTGTGTGTGTGTGTGTGTGTGCGTGTGCGTGTGTGTGTGTGTGTGTGTGTGTGTGTGTGTGTGTGTGTGTGTGTGTGTGTGTGTGTGTGTGTGTGTGTGTGTGTTTTGGGGTTAGGGTTAGGGTGAGGGTGAGGGGACAGAATTTATAGATTGCACAGTATGAAAATCATTACATCTATGTGAAGTCCCTATAAAACATAAAAACCCAATGTGTGTGTGTGTGTGTGTGTTTACCTGTGTGATTCACCTCAGGCTGTATTGCGCAGTTGTCTCGATGTCAGCCAGAACTCATGTCAGCTTTCTATTACTCACCAGACAGCAGGGATTCTTTGGTTGATCAGCAAATTTTCTTTCATTCGGGCAGACGTCTGGTTTATCCTGAGCCTTCATTAAGTATTGCAAACTGAACTCACGTCAGGCATTTGAGATGAGTCGTTGGTTTTTCTGTGTAAAGGTTATGATTTGACTTGTCTAGCAAGGCCAATTTTGAACCACTTTTACAGTGATATTTTACGCCATTTGAAGCCTGTGTGGGGTTTATAATGTATGGTGTTAAGGAATATTTTTTTTATGAAGTGAGGAGCATTATATATTATATTGCATATTTTATTTTTAATTATAGATAATATATTATTATTAATAATAATACTAATACTAGTATATATTATTAATATATTTTTCATACTTATAAACTATAGATGATTAATACTACATCTGTATGAAATGCCTACATTTTAGCCGTTTAATAATACAATTACAATTTTGTACTCGTAATATTATCATTTTGATCATATTTATTATCGTGTATTTTATATTTTGCAGTAAATTGTATTATTTTCTTTCATTTTTGCACTAATAATTTTACATTTTTATTTCTCATTTCTTTTATTTGTTATATGTGAAATGTATTGTTATATCAAGTTAACATTATTATCATATTTATTATATACAGTGCATCCGGAAAGTATTCATAGCGCTTCACTTTTTCCACATTTTTTATGTTACAGCCTTATTCCAAAATGGATTAAATTAATTAATTTCCTCATAATTCTACACACAGTACCCCATAATGACAATGTAAAAAAAGAGTTTTTTGAATTTGTTGCAAATTTATTAAAACTAAAAAACCTGAAAATTCACATGAACAAAAGTAGTCACAGCCTTTGCTCAATGCTTTGTTGATGCACCTTTGGCAGCAATTACAGCCTCAAGTCTTTTTTAATATGCTGCCACCAGCTTGGCACACCTGTTTTTGGGAATTTTTGCCCATTCCTCTTTGCAGTCAGTCTCAAGCTCTATCAGGTTGGATGGGAAGCATCCACTCCAATTAACTCCAAAGCATTAACTCCAAAGAGTTCAATTTAATTCTTATCAGACCAGAGAGTTTTGTTTCTTATTGTCTGAGAGTCCTTCAGATGCCTTTTGGCAAATTCCAGGCGGGGAGTGGCCTCCATCTGGCCACTCTAGCGTACAGGCCTGATTGGTGGATTGCAGCATAGATGGTTGTCCTTCTGTAAGGTTCTCCTCTCTCCACAGAAGAACGCAGGAGATCAAATCATGTCCATCAACTGAATTGACCACAGGTAAACTAATTAATCTGCTGAAACATCTCAGGAATGATCAGTGGAAACAGAATGTACTTGAGCTCAATTTAGAGCTTCATGTCAAAGGCTAAGATTACTTATATACTTATGTACATTTTTCAGGTTTTTTATTTTTATTTTTTTTTTATTTTGTAGAAATAAATTAATTGAATCTATTTTGGAATAAGGCTGTAACAGAAAAAATGTGGAAAAAGTGATGCACTGTATATTATTTTTCATACAGTATTCATCATATACATTGTTTTTGTGTGTAAAATGTGTATTTTTTACATTTATTTTATTGCTGTACATTTATTTAAACTATGTTTCTACATTGTATGTTTAATATATACACTTGTAGGTAATAATACTACTATAACAGACAGACAGACAGACAGACAGACAGATATATAGATAAATGGATAGATAGATAGATAGATAGATAGATAGATAGACAGACAGACAGACAGACAGACAGACAGACAGACAGACAGACAGACAGACAGACAGACAGACAGACAGACAGACAGACAGATAGATAGATAGATAGATAGATAGATAGATAGATAGATAGATAGATAGATAGATAGATAGATAGATAGATCGATAGATATCAATCAAACAAACACTTCACTAAACATGTCAGTTTGAAAAATGGTTCAGGATGGCTACTTGCGTTTACTTACTGAAATCAAAGATCCCCTTCTAATTCTCAAAGCAGTAAATGAGCACATTAAGGCATCCTTGTTCATATGAACGGTGCATGGAGGCTCAGAGTTAACTCGCAGCTGGAAGTCGACTGGAAAGATGCAACTATTTGGAAAGAGCTGCGCCAATGAGAGGAATCCACAATGACCTACTTATTTCCCCTCTGTGAAGGAGCTGCCTTGTTCCCCTGACCCAAATGATGCAACTTATTTGCCTCACATCTCAGCATCGCACACTGTAACAAAACACATGTGTGGGTTTTTTGCATTTTTAACTTCAGGTGATAATAATAATGATATATTTATTTAATATCTTACACTTTAATAATATTTAAAGTTCTGAGTCATTATACTGTAGTGAATGTCAGTTCATATTTGCATTGGAAATATGAGGTTCTGGTGAGGTTTTGGAATGCAGCTTTTGAATGTCTGTCATTTTATTTTGCAACCTTTTAAGCTGCAATCTTTTTTTAAACACGTGGATTTTGGAAATGGTTTCAAATATGTTATGTTAGGATAGGTAATAATAAACAACAGGTCACTAAACTGAAATTTTAATACTGTAAAAACAATTCTTTCAGCTTTAAAAAAAAAGTTGGATCAAACTAACTTTTCCAGTCATCTCAACTTATATCAATCAAATTGGCTAAAAGTATTAAGGTGAACTTTGTATGTTATTTGTAAATTTATGTTTTCGTTCAGTTTTTTACAGTGTAATGAATTTGATAATGTATTAGTTCAATGACAACCAAGCTAAACAAAGAAGTTTTTGTAAATTGACATTGAAACCGTGTCAGTCCAGTTTTCAGAGTTAAAGATCAATTTACTTCAGTTCAGAGTGTTTAATTTCCACTGCAAAAAGTCCAAGCACTGAAGAGCAAATCCATTGATGCGCAGCTCCACAAATCCCAAACCAAGCAAGCCAGTAGCGACAGTGGTGAGGAACAAAACTTCACCAATTGATAAAAGTGAAGGAACCTATAGATACCACGTGCATACACATATTTGAAGTAGATCTATTTTTAGTTGTAAAATCAGATCTCACAATATCTTTATAGATAAACTACAGATATAATAACTAAAAACACAACCATTGACCAATAGTCCTTAATGCACAATAATAATCTTTATAGAAATATGAAAAAAGTAGCCTAGGCTGAAATAATACAGCATTAATTATGCATTCAGTTAACCTTTATGACCATTGAGGTAGAAATTCTGTGTTCATATATAGACATCTATAATAAACGTCAGGGTACTACATTTTAAAAACTTTAAAAACAGTACACATGGCTATATTGTACTTCTAGTGTTAAATGCTAATGTTTACATTCCTTCATCTCGACATTTTAGTCTTAACCATCATCAGTGCAGTGGTTGGCGTCTATGTGATAAAATATCTGTAAACCCAAAACACAGAAAGCTGCACAATACATCCCTTGCTTAGGTTTTGTTTTTGTTTTTTTCTTCTCTCATTTGTATATATCATTGATATAGATGTGTGTGTGTGTATTCCCCAATGACACAATGATGCCTCTTGTACATTGTCTTATTGTTTTTTGGAAGAAGCCGGTGTCATTTTCGGACAAAAAAAATGCTGGTTGGATAAAAGCTACTTTAATTGAGAATATGTCAGGGTTTTGAAAATATATATATATATTGGCCCTATTTCCGCCTCTCCACCTTTCAGCCCAGTGGCAGGTTGGACAGGAGAAGTAGTGTTGTTATGAATGACCGACTTCATACGTGTGTGTGTGTGTGTGTGTGTGTGTGTGTGTGTGTGTGTGTGTGTGTGTGTGTGTGTGTGTGTGTGTGTGTGTGTGTGTGTGTGTGTGTGTGTGAGTGAGTGAGTGAGAGAGAGAGTGTGTGCGCGTATCCATCTGTGTGTGAGATGATGAAGGCTTATCGAGTTGTTTTTCCAATATGGTGGTAGATGCACTGCAATGTGCCTTCGGATATGTCTAACAGCCACACACACACATATATATATATATATATATTGAAACCAGCTGCAATGATGCTTCCTGTTGTAACAGGTAATGAGTATATCTGTTGTTGACATAGTGATACTTTACTGCCTGAAATGGCTGTTAATTCAAAGCTTTTCATCATCAATTGCTTTATATTGGTCTGTTTAGATTTTGTTTTTGGGATTGGTAATGACTGATTTATCAGTGTTGTTTGTGGCTCTGATATAGACTTTGGCAAGTACTCATAATCAGTTTTACTTAAATGTTTTGGGAAGACACCTTTATCCAAAGCAACTTAAAATGCATTAAATGCACATACTGTATATTGAAGCCATGATCTTGCTTGTCCTGTAGTACCATCCTCTGTACAGGAAATCAGAGAGGAAGTCAAAATTTTAAGCTGCTTAATACTGCCTGCTTAAAAATTATATTCTTTTATTAATGAACACTATTAATAAAGTCAACATCCTCATGTGAAATGTTAATTCTTTAAAAATATTTCTCAAGAGCTGTTTTAATGTAAGGAAGATTTTTTTTCAACACATTTTAAACATAATAGGCTTAACATAATAGTTATTTTGCAAGTCAACAGTACTTTGTAGCTTCGTAGCTAATCTCAAAAAATATTTCTTAACGGAGCCAATAGTATTGACTTTAATTTGGTTTATTTTATTGAGAATCTGCTTTTATTCAAGCCAAACTAAAATAAATAAGACTTTCTCCAGAAGATGAACTATGATAGGAAATACTGTAAATATTTTATTTCTTTGTCAAATATTATTTGAGAATAATTTGAGAGGAGGGCTAATCATTTGTCCTTCATCTGTGCATATAGTTGATTTTACATAGCTGAAAAAGTTTAGTTTTATTAAAACAGCTAATATGTTTACCTATTTGCTCACACTTTATTTTAAGGTCCACTCCTAATATGCTGGTTATTAATAATTATCATGAGCTAGGTTTAGCTTTATTGGGAAAGATGAGAGATGTAGATAATGCAGAATAATATGTTCTTCATAACTATTGCAGATTTCGACCTACTGTATGATTATGAGTTGTTTTTACATCACTTCCCTCCTTTACTGTCCTGTAGACACTCCTCCTGCAGTGACCAGTGTCCAGACTCTTCTTCTGTCTGCCTGTTTTTTGTTTTTTCCCTCCTCTGCTTTTCACAGAACGTCACAGAGCTGTTTGGAAAAGAAAGATTGCTTGTTTCTGGGTTTGGGTGTCGAACCGTTTCATCGCACCCACGCATGAGCAAACAGTTTATTTCTGTCCTTCACTGCTTTCTGTGAACTCATGCGCAACCCCAGGGACAACCGTGGAGAACCTGCCAGAAATATTCACTTATTTATTTTTTTTGCTCTGAAAAGAAAGCCCTAGTTTTTTGTCAGCCCTTTTTGAGTGGAGTCGTCGGTCTGAAAGGCCTCCCGTTGTCCTCGGTCATTTCAAAATAACAGTGTTTGAGAGCTATGAATGGCCAGTGGTGACGTTAGTGGGACTTACAGTAAATTTGGAAAAGTCCTTGTGAACTGAGGGTCTTTCTGTCATCTAGGATTTGCTGAAGCACAGAAAAGGGCTTTTTATACTTGAACTAGTTATTACTGTATGTGCAATATACTGTATCTATACAGTTTCACCAAATCTATTTGGAAAGATTATATAGTCAAAACATAGCTAACATACTAGCTTACCTACTTTAACAAGATCACTGTTGTTTTTTTATTTTCTTAAAATAAACGTGAAGCTATCTTTACTCAATTTTATTAGCTTAACTGCTTTCTCTAATAATTGCTCTGATTTGCTTAAAAAATAAGTTAAATTTATCTCTTGATTTTATTAGCAAAATCTGCTCAATATTTCATGATAAATCCAGAATATAATTTTTTTTTAAAGAAAATATGCACATTTTTATTACCACATCATTTTTTTTTATTGAAAATTTCAAGCCTCAAGATTTTTTATAGTGTAAGTTAGTTTAGATATTGTGTCAGGCATGTAGAAAAAGCTCATGCAGAATATGTGAATTATAAGTACTAATAAACAGCCAATATCTCAATAACACGCATGCTAATAAGCAGTTAGTAGTGAGAATAGAAGTGATGTATTTATTTGAATTGATTAGGATGATTCTGTAGAAGAGTGGATCATGCATTAAATGTAATAAACTTTAGGCAGATGAATGCAATGAAGCAACTATAAAAGTGAGCTAAACAGTGCATGCTTTAAGGTTTTTGTATATTCATTCATTTTCTTTTCGGCTTAATCCCTTTATTAATCTGGGGTCGCTACTGTGGTATGAACCGCCAACTTATCCAGCACATGTTTTACGGAGCGGATGCCCTTCCAGCTGCAACCCATCTCTGGGAAACATCTATACACACTCATTCACACTCATACACTACGGACAATTTAGCCTACCCAATTCACCTGTACCGCATGTCTTTGGACTGTAGGGGAAACCGGAGGAAAACGTGGAGACGTAGGGAGAACATGCAAACTCTGCACAGAAACGCCACCTGACCCAGCCGAGGCTCAAACCAGCGACCTTTTTGCTGTGAGGCGACAGCACTACCTACTGCGCCACCGCGTCGCCATTGTTTTGTATATATAAATGTAAAAAATACACTGCAAAGTCAACTCAGCATATTATGCATATCTTGTGATGTGACTATTGTGAATGCACACATTGCGATATCGATGCTGAAACAATATATTGTGAAGCCCTAATCAGTGTAGAGCATAAGTACACCTACTTGGAATTTTAGCACTTGTATTTATTTGTCAGTGGTATATTTTTTTTTTAATGAGGTGTCGCTGACATTATTACTACAGCAGATTCAACTACAGTGTCAATAGAAAATCATCCCACATTTTTTTAAAATAATTTCTTTCTCTGTCGTACAGCCTGAAACTTTTCCAGCCTTTGAAATGATTTTGTAGTCTTTTTCCTAACCTGTGCCTTTTTACAACTTTATCCTGAAGGTTGTTTGAAAGCAGATTGTTTGAGATAGATTTTCCAGGGTATGATGATTTTCTATAGGCACTGTATATCTATTTTGTATGGTCTCCTTGATGTTTCTTGTTAAATACATTTTAATTTGATGTTTTCTGCTAACGTAACTTGCTTTATCATCTCTCCTGATCTTTAGACTTGAAGACCCTCTTCTTCTTGTTTGGCAGGTCTTTTTGGTTCTAGCTATTTTATGGCTTGTTGCTAACAAAACACAGTGTTTTTAAAGGGATAGTTCATGCAAAAATGACATTCTGTCATCAGTTACTCATCATCATGTCATTTGGACAAAC